TTTTTTGTTTGGATTTAGCCAGCATCTCCTACCGCTGACTTAGTTTGGCCTCTTTGTCTCTCACCTGAAATATTGCAGGTGTTATTAACTGGTTTGCTTCCTTCTGGAAACCCAACTCAGTTCATTCTCTACATCAGCTCCAGGTTTATCTTCCTAAACTACAGATCTGATCAACACCCACTTGGTGGTCTTGGTCATTCTGTTCCCTCTGGCTGGTGGGTTTCCCTCTATTGTCTGCTTTTCCCACTACTAGTCAATAAATATTCCAGGCCCAATGCAAATGTTACTTTTTCAGTGAAGAGTCCCATATCCACCAAACAGTTCAGTACTGTGCTCCAGCTGTGCTTTCTGGTAGTGATTTTGTGGTATCACCACTTGGCATTCTCTTCCGTGGTCTATCAATTTCCTGTCCAAGTCACAAACTCCTTTTCCCCATTTACTTATGGATGCCTAGCACTTAGTACAAGAATTGAGACTTAGTGTGACCTCATTAAGTGTTTTCGAAATTGAATTGAACCCAGGGCTTTTGATAATCCATAAAATAGAACAAACTTCCTATTAAAAAGTGAACAATTCTACATTTTGTGGAATTCTCAAGAGTTAGAAGCACTATCTTTCAATCTTGTTTGGGCATTTAAAATCTTTTTCTGTTATCTAGAAGAAAATTGAACCTGTCTTTCTATGTTGCCCTTTCTCTGTAGATGACTTTGACTTTTATAGAGATTGTTATTCCCCCTCTTTCTAAAGAGTTAGATTTGGTTGGTTTATTTTCCTCCCCTTCCTCCTTCACCTTCTCTCTTTCCCATTTTCCTTCCATCGATGCTGTTGCTGTCATTAGTCATCATGATCATCATTATCCCCCCATTGCCCTTGTTCCATGTGCCAGATGTTTTACAAATATCATCTCACACTTGATCCTCATAATGTTTTGCAGCATAGGTCTTATTTTACTTTCTTTAAAGATGAAGAAACTAGGATTCAGGGAAGGTTAGGAACTTTCCTAACATCCTCGATCACAGATCTGGGATGTAATGCCAGAGCTGTTTCTCCCTCTTTTTCTTCCTCCACTATTCTCTCCCTTCTCCCCTCTCTTCCCACTATTATTAAAAACCAAACAAACAAATAAACAAAAAACAAAGCCAGAATTTTAAATTCTGCTTCTTTACTTTTGGGAAGTATTTTTTTTCTTGTTAGTTAATACATGTGCATAGTTTGGGCAGTTTTACATCCAGTTCAACAAGCCTCCTTCCAACTCAGAATCAAGTAAAGAGGCTGGTTAACCTCACGGTTGTAGGGAGAACACTGTGCTCTCATACAGACATGCATGAATTGCTAGTTATCAGCCCTAGACCCACAGCCAAAGCCTGCTCATTGCTCACTGTGTGAGTGGCTCTTTCTGAGGGATATTCCTCTTCCCTTCACTGGTTTGTTCTTCCTGGTTCCTTATTTTAGATCCAAATGTTTTCCTCTGGAAAATATTATATCTCACTGTAGTCTAGTTTCCCCAGTGCAATAGCAACTGTAGAGGTGTTTTTTTGATTTATGAACAATTAGGTTTTTAAAACCTAAATATTTTTAAAACAACTATTTTATATCCACAAGAACGTGAATTCTTAAACTTGAATAGATCACCAGAGACCCTTATCTAGGAGTGGACACATGTAATGTAGGTGGGCTACAGATGATTCTCTAATAGGAAAAAGAAAAAGCAACCCAAATCGAGCTAGACTATTTTTCTTCTAACTTGTTAAATTCATAAGTATCACTGACCCAGATAAATGGTAACAGATGGCTGAGAGCTAACTTAAGCTAGGACGAGGCCACCTCTGCAGCCTACTCTAAGTTTATAGATACCCTGAGAGATGGTGCTGCCCTGAGAGGCAGGGCTATCTGTCCTCTCAGAGCACCCACTGTAAATGGTGTGTGACCAAAGCAGCTGTGTTACTACATGTGGTCCCCATGGCCTCATTGTCCCCAAACTTCAAATGTCCCTCCCAAGGGTGCTGCTGTCACATCACTGCCTGTCTCAAGAGACATCCTTGGTGCCAGCATCCTCTGCTTCAGAACTGCCATCTGCTCCCAGGGATAGTTCTACCAACCGCATTTCCCAGGATTTGCTTCATTATGTCTCCACGTCCCTCACAAAGCACATGATTTTTATGGAGTTGGTGTTTCTTGGGGAGGAGAGTGGAAAGGAAGGAGGGGGTTTATAAAAATAATGAGATTGAGCTTTGCTTAAAGATGTTCCGAATCACCCACTTATAAATTGACTGTTTAGAGAGGCAGCTTTCAAAATTGGCCAGGGAACTAGAAGGAAAAGAAGTAAAAATAATTCATGCTCAGCAGATATATATTTAGATAACAAATTCAAAGAGAAGCAGATGAATAAACCTGGATAAACAACTAAAAACCAGCGAATGAAAAGAAGAGATCGCAATTGGGCCACACAGCTGATACATGAATAGGAATCCTGACAGAGAGAAGTTGCAGATGAGACAGCCCAGGAAGCAGAGATTATCTGGGAAGCTGGGCCTAACAGCCCCAAAGTCCCAATGTCCCTGGTTGAGAGGCTCTGGGGCCAGGGCAACATGAAATTTCCTCTTTGCCCCAGCATCAAAAAAAAAAAAAATATATATATATATATATATATCCCCCAAAGTATGTATATATACTTTAACAGCTGATAGCTCAATTTTGAAAATGAAATATCCTATCTAATAATAGACAAACATGGTAATTGACTATACCTTTGCTACGCCTCCCATGGGTTAATCAGCATGATATGCAAATTAACCGCCAACAAAGATGGTGGCTAATTTGCATACTGCAGGCAGGATGGGTCAGCACCATCCCACCTGCCCCGCCACCATCTGGGTCTGCTATTTGCCACCTGGGGCAGTGGGGCAGTACAACACCATCCCCCCTGCCCTGCCACCATCTGGGCCTGCTATCTGTGACCTGGGGCAGCGGGCGTCCCGTGTGCGACCTAACCTGGGGCTGCCGGGCGGGGCAGCAATGATCTGCCAGCTCTCCTGGCCGCCGCCCGGGCATCCCATGTGCGACCCGACCTAGGGCGGTGGGGCCGGATAGCGTGGCTCCTCTGTCACCACAGCTTCCTCATCACAGCTCCCTTGGGGCCCTAAGCCTTTAGTTGCACATCCCCCAAGGACTCCCTGGCTACCAGAGGATGTCTGAGTGCAAGCTTAGGCCTGGTCCCCCTGGAATGGGCCTAAGTTGACAGGTGGACATCCCCCAAGGGGTCCTGGACTGCAAATGGGCGCTGGCTGGGCTGAGGGACCCCCACCAAGTGCACAAATTTTTGTGCACCCGGCCTCTAGTATTTTAATAAACACTGTGGTGCCAACATCTTTATTCTCAGTGTAGCTTGCACTCCTCTCTGGCCCTGGCTGAACTTCAGGCCTTTCTCCCATGGCTTGTTTATGGAACAGTTGTACCCTTGTTCCTCATTTAATCAGCACAGACTTAATGACCAGGAGCTACACTAGTTGCATGTAAATATTGGTTTATTTTTGTACTAGAGGCCTGGTGCATGAAATTCATGCACAGGTAAGGTCCCTAGGCCTGGCCAGCAATCAGGGCCGATCTGTAGGGCAACTGGTGGGGCAATCAGGGGGCCCCTGCTGGCACCCACCTTGGCTGGCCTGGGGCCTGAGGGCTGAGGACAGCTCCTGCATTGAGCATCTGCCCCCTGGTGGTCAGTGTGCATTATAGCAACCAGCTGTTCCACCAGTTGTTCTACCAGTCATTCCGCCATTCGGTCGATTTGCATATTATGCTTTTATTATATAGGATAGTGATTTATAGATTACTAGGTATGTTGCCAAGCAAGTATTCTAACAACTTGGAAAGTAGGTTAGTATGTTTTTATTTCACAGATAGGTTAGACAAGGAAACTCACGAGGCTAAATGACTTTGACAAAATTTCACAGCTTTTGAGTGGAAAATCTGGCATTGAATACCTGTTTTGCATTATACCAGGCACAATATTAGTTTCCAAGACCCCAAAGATAAATAAGATGTGAACTCTGTTCTTGAGAAGATTAGAAACAAGGAAGGGAGGGCAAAGAACAAAGACTTCAGGATGGATAGTGCAAGGAAGAAACTAAGTGCAATAAGAGAGGTACTGATAAGAGAAGTGTAATTGAGTGGGGATGATAAGATTTTAAGGATTCTTTCCTTCCAAGGGCATGGGAATTATAGCTGGGAATGGTTGGAGTCGAAAGAAGACGCTAAGATCCAAAGAAATGCATTACAGAATGTGGGCACTTCAGGTAGAGGTGACTGGCAGCTGGGAAAAGATACTTTGCAGGGGAGAAATCCTACTGGCTAACTTCTAACTTGTATGAGTTACTCCCCCTATAATGTAGAGCAGTGATGGCAAACCTATGACACACGTGTCAGAGGTGACACACGAACTCATTTTTTTCGTTGATTTTTCTTTGTTAAATGGCACTTAAATATATAAAATAAATATCAAAAATATAAGTCTTTGTTTTACTATGGTTGCAAATATCAAAAATTTTCTATATGTAACATGGCACCAGAGTTAAGTTAGGGTTTTTCAAAATGCTGACACGCCAAGTTCAAAAGGTTCACCATCACTGATGTAGAGTTTTCTGTTGTTAAATCTAACCAGTTGGCCTATGTTTTAGAGTAGCAGTAGTCAACCAGAGGTCTGAAAGTTTGGCAACTGCTGGCTTAAGGAAACTTTTGGAGCAGCGGTTGACAACCGGTGGTCCGTGGACCACTGGTGGTTCAGGGGTTCCAGTTGGCGACTGCTGTTTTAGAAGCAAGTGACTAATAATAGATTGCTCAGTAAGTGGATTAAACCACCAACCTTAGAAGATTCCTACTGAGAACGTGTTTTGTTTTTTTTTTTGTTTTTTTAAATAATAGTTTAATTTGTCGGAAAGTTACATTAAGCCAAGTAAAAACTGGGAGGAAGGCCCAGAGCGTGTTGGTACCGCCCAGGGCGGGCCCTAGAAGTTGTCCCGCAGGCTCAGGATGCACTTCTGCTCGCTCTCCCGGAAGTCCGGTCCCCGGCCCTCCCCGATGTTCTCCGCGTACTCCTTGAGGATGTGCCTGACCAGTTGGATGGAGCTTCCTCTCACGTTTAAGATCTGCTGAAGCCTCTGCCGGATCTGGGGGACACAGGCATTGCAGACCTCGGCCATGATGTAGCAGATGTGCTGGAGGACAAAGAGCCCTGCGTCCAAGCGCCGCAGGTAGAACTCATCTTCAGAGTCCTGGTCTAGGATTTCCCCTCGCTGGACCCTGTCATGCTTTTCCCCTTCAATCTTCCTGTCGGCCACCTGCATGGCATCCAGGGATTTAAAATGCAGCTCCATCAGTCTGTCCACCTTCTCCAGGTCATTTTCAGTGAATTTATTCAGCAGCCGGGTTCGCCTTTGCTCTCTCAGGTTCCGCAGGAAAGAAGCCAGGATGGCACACACATGCTCTTCATGTTCCTTCTCGGTGGTTCCCACTTTCTTGATCTTCTTGGGAGATTTCATAAAGAGAGGAAAGATGGTTCGCAAGCCAAGAATGTCAACAAACTTATGGCAACTGTGTGAGCCCTCGGGCCCAATCATGGCATGGTCCAGCACCTTCAGGCCGCTGCTCCTCGAAGTCTTCTTTGCTCTGAACATGAGATTCATCAGCTGAAGACCCTCGCCCTTGAGGAAGCGCTCACGATTGGAACTGAGCATCAGGCAGGAACAGAGTGTGTCAAACACATTCTCCAACATCTCCTGCTCCTCCGCAGTGCGAGGATCGTATCTTTAGATCACGGATAACTGCTGCAGAAGCACATCGATTCCATCCAGCTCCCCAAGCAATTCCCTGTTGGCATCGCTGTCCTGCAACAATATGGCCAGCACTTCACTACAGTACTGCTTGTTGGCACCCAAAGGCATCTTGGCCTTCAGCCTCTTCAACAGCCCCTGCAGAAGACCCTGCTGGGCGGCCTCCGCACACATCCGTGGCCTGAACTCAGCCATGTTTTCCACAATAGCCAGAGTGTTGTGCACGCCCTGCTGCCTCCTCTCTCCCAGACTCATCCAGGCGCTCCAGGTTCTGCACCAGCAGTGCCACCACTTGTCCGGCCACCAGAGCACCGGTGAGCACTTCTGCTCCCTCTTCACTCTCATGTAGGGTGTCCAGATCTGTTAATTCCTGAAGCAGATCCACCACAGCTATGGACACATCTGTATTATCGTGTCCCAGCAGCCCGAGGAGAGACTGGACAGCAATCAGCTCCACGAGGAGGTGATACAGGTCCGGCTTGGTGGCCACCATGTTCATCTCCTGAATGATATCATTTAGGTCCAGCTCGGATTCCATAAACTTCTCTGGGTTGTTTGGAAACTTGACCCGCACTCCTGGTTTTTGTAGGACCTTTTTTCAAATATGAGGATCATTTTCTTCACTGAGCTTGCATCCAGTGGGGCCTCCTCTTCCCCGTTCTCCTCACCCTGTCTGTCCATAATCTGAAGCAGCCTTTTCTGGTGATCATCTGCTTCTTTTGCCACCGCCATTTCCTCTTCCCAAGAGCGGTCAGGTTCTCAAGGACCAGCTTGTTTCCTGGGCCTTCTCAGCTCTTTGTCTCCACCATCCCGGGGATGTTTTGTGCCCCTGTTGGGCTGGTAGCTGAGAAGTTCGCTCACATCCATGCTTCCTGGCGCAGCTCACACGGGTAGCTCTGGTTCCCTGCCTCCACTCACAACCAAGCCGTGGACCCCTTCAGTAGTGCTGCAGCCACACTGCCCAAGCCCTGAGCGGGGACGCACAGCCAATGAGGTAAAGGGTGCCAGATGCAAGAGCCAGCTACACTGAGGTTAAAGGCTGTGCTGCCACCAAGAGAACTGCATTTGTTTTTTGTGGGTTTTTTTTTAACAGTATAAACAAGTTTGTTTATTTTTAAAAATTACAATAATTACAAATAGTACAAATTGAGACATTTTTCCTGTTCCTGTGACAGAAGCTGACAACCTTCACTTTCAGTAGGGTTTTTGATATTTTGATATGATGCATATTCAGTGATATGCTGCCTTTTAAAAAAATATTTTCTAAATAATTCCAGGAAGCCTACTAGTGATATATATACATGGGTCATTTACCTGAAATATTATTTCCGGAACTACTATGTACAAGTCCAACACAACTAAACTAGAACAGGGTAAGAAGGCATTGAATCGAATAATGTTTTTTCCCAACAGTAATTTTTCTTTTCTAAATCCTCACTCCAGGCTACTTTCCATTGATTTTTAGAGAGAGTGAAAGGGAAGAGGAGAGACAAGAGATATCTATGTGAGAGAGACACATTGATTGGTTGCCTCCCTCACATGCCCTGCCTGGGGCTGGGGATTGAGCCTGCAACCAAGGTATGTGCCCTTGACCAGGACTGAGCCTGGGACCCTTCAGTCCATGGACCAATGCTCTAACCCAGCCGTGGGCAAACTACGGCCCGCGGGCTGGATCCGGCCCATTTGAAATGAATATAACTAAAAAAAAAAGACCGTACCCTTTTATGTAATGATGTTTACTTTGAATTTATATTAGTTCACACAAACACTCCATCCATGCTTTTGTTCCAGCCCTCCGGTCCAGTTTAAGAACCCATTGTGGCCCTCGAGTCAAAAAGTTTGCCCACCCCTGCTCTAACCACTGATCAACCAGCTAGGGCCCAACAGTAAATTTTGATAATTCTCTAAATATTCAACAAAGGGTTAAGAACTAAAGTCATGATTTTTGGCTTTAAAAAGTAAATCTGCTGTAATTTTTAATGGGCTGCACAATTCCACTATGGCCAATATTACCTTTTTTTTTTTACAGGTTTGCTATTGTTTTAAGAAACAGAATTCTACAGTATTCAATTCTGTATGCTTTTTTAATCAGAGTCACTACTACTGCTAGAGGAGTCTGTTGACATAACCTCTACATCATCTTCATTTTCTTTCTTATGCCCTGCAGGTTCCAACAAAAAGTCATTACTGTGATTTGGTGGTAACATCTTCAAGGCCATATCATTTGATTGCCAGGGATACTGTGGAGCAAGGACATCTGGCCATCTGCCTGCTGCAAGTGCATCTCCAGGTAAAGGACCATTCACACCATTAGTGGAAGGATTGTTCATTTGACCCAATAATCCACTTCTCATCTCTAAATCCGTTGGGTATGGTTTCCGTGGGTCCTCTGGAACCCAGGTCAGTGGGGCACACACAGCATTACTTGCACTAATCCTATGTGCATACTGAATTATTTCTTCGGAGGAAATAGCACCTTTTCTTGCCTTATCTATTGATTTCAGTTTTTCTTTTGCTTGGGAAACAGCTGTTGCCAGTATTTGCTCAGCTTCCTTTAGCTGTTTTTGTAACCGCTCAATATCACTGTCTCTCTTCTCAACTTCTTTTTCTAAAACTTGCATTTCATGGTGAATTTTTCCCTGATTAAGTGCCGATTTCATTAGTTCCTGAAACTCCTCATCTCTGTGAATTAATAACTCCAGCACCTGGTTTTCCTCTCCAGCCTATAACAACGTTTGGTTTCTTGAAATTGCCAGCATTTCTGTGAGCTCTCGGGACAGGACCTCCAGGTCCTCCAGCGCAGACAGCAGCCGCTCTCCCGTGCTGTGGCCACAGGCCGCCCCCCGACCAGCAGCCCAGCCGCTCCCTTCTCCTTTTCGCCCACGGAGGCAGCTGCCATGCTGCTCTGGGGCCACGGAGGCCGCTCAAGAGAACTCTCTTCTTCTCCATTCTCCTCACCCTGTCTGTCCATAATCTGAAGCAGCCTTTTCTGGTGATCATCTGCTTCTTTTGCCACCGCCACGTCCTCTTCCCGAAAGCGGCCAGGTTCTCGAGGACCAGCTTGTTTCCTGGGCCTTCTCAGCTCTTCCTCTCCATCATCCTGAGGACGTTTTGTGCCCCTGTTGGGCTGGTAGCTGAGAAGTTTGCTCACATCCATGCTTCCAGGCGCAGCTCACACGGGCTTCTATTTATTCATTTATGCAAGACCTGGTGGGAAATGGATGATCTTGTTTAAACCCAAGAAACATAAAAAGGTTTTCTGTAGAAGAAAGTTGCCCATCCTTGGGAAAGAATAACTCAAAGAGAGCATCTGAGCTCCTGCGACTTGAATTACTCTCTGTCTTCAAAGGGTGTTAAGCCTATCCCTTACTCCCCTTAGCCATTAGCCATCTGTCCTTGGAATTTATATTTGTCTCAGTCTTTGAGGCTGTTGGGGGAAGGGGGGGAATCATACACTGGGTGGCTTATAAACAACAAATTTGTTTCTCACAGTTCTGGAGGATAGGAAGTTCAAGATCAAGGCACTGGCAGATTCCTTTTGGGATGGGGGCTTGCTTTGTTGTTCCTAAATGTGCCTTGGAACTGTGTCCTCCCATGGCAGAGGGAGGTGAGGCAGCTTTCTTCTGCCTCTTACAAAAGCACTAATCTGACTCATTTGGGCTCCACCTTATGACCTAATCACCTCCCCAAGACCCCACTCCCTAATACCATCACCTTGAAAAGTAAAAATTCAACTTATGAATTTTCAAAGGACACAAATATTCAGATCGTATCAATATTTATAACCCAGCTCAGATGCCACCTTCTTTTCCTAGTTAACTCAATTCACTCCAGAATTAATTGCTTTCTCCTTCTGAACCCAGAATACCTCTTTGATCTCTATTCATAGCTATTGGGTCTCTCTGCTATTTATTATAATTGTTGTCTACAGATCAGACTCCCTCACTAAACTGTGTGTTTCTTAAGGGTAAGGACTGTGTTAATTGTCTACCCATTACTGGCTTCCTGTCCTAGTATTGTTTTCCTGAGAAGGGTTCAGGAATGTTTACATGACCTCCTTGTTGAATAGTTCAGTAAATTAGGGGTTAGTTTGTGGCTTCTCAGTTTCCATAACATTGTTCTCTTTTTCAACAATTAGATTTCCTGGGCCCTCTCTAACCCTCAGCACTTTGCCAAAGGGGCCTCATATGACTTCTTATATAACCAGGTCATAGGTTTCAACCACAGACACATTATCCTTCACCAGATATTCCTTGCATCATTAATAACCAGTATCTCTTTCTGTTTAGTACTTGTGCCCTACTTCGAGTAAACTAATAAAATCAACCAGGGTTTATGAAACACATTAAGGAATAATGCTTTATATAAGGATTCACCACAGGATTGCTTTTGAGAATCAGTTCCTGTTATGTTCTTTAATATTTTATTCTTAAAATAGTTTGAAGAATGCACTTATAAAATAAAGGCATACCCTGTATTTTGAAGATTGTGAGTGGATTTGTGTCTTGATATTGGTTATCCCTTCTTAGTTTCTTGGTTGCTTTGAGGTAAGTCAGTCCACTTACCTGTGACCATTATAGGTTTCTGACCCTATCATTTCCTTGCTTTTATGCAGACTAATTAAGACTTCAGCCCTCATTATTCCTAGAAGAGCACCTCACTAAGTGAACATCTGTTATTCTTTTAGGCCACCTTTGAACATTCTTCTGTATTTGAGAAATTTACTACCTTATAAATCATCGCCTATCAGTATAGAATTTAAAAAAATTCTTTTTTGCCTTTCCTCGTAGTCAGAGTTTGGGTATGCGTATTTGGTGCTTGCAGGCAGGGAAAGTATTGCCACTGAACTTCAAATTGGAAGTTAGTGCTACAAATAAAAATATACCTGGGGAAAAACATACTGTGGTAAGGATGGTGGCAGTTATATCTGATTTTCTGAAGCAACAGAGTCTATATCTGATGGCCATGGCCATGTGGGGAGGATAGCTGTGAGGCCTCGGGCTAGCCAGGGAGGCAGTGATAATTTCAATCGAAGCAGCATGTGGTATGATAGCACCATGATTCCCGGCTCAGAAACCTTTATTATGCTTCTCTGGCTCTTCAGGAAATTCTGTGAGTGACCTAGTATTCTTTAATGAATTATTTTCTATTTAAACTTGCTAGGGTTAGCTTGTATTATTTGCAAATAAGAAAACCCTACTGGATGTAGAACCTGTATTATGTACGGTGCTAGTTCATATTGTTGATTCTGTCTCCGGAAGTGGTTCGCTGTGGTAGAAAGAACAGAATCCTGCTGTGTCTTACGTCTCTGTGGAGTGGCTAGATTCTGTGTTGTTCAGTCCGGGAGACTTTAACTTGAACTCCCCCATCTGTTGACCCTTCTCCATCTCCATTGCTATCACCTGAGGCCAGGCTATTATCATTCTCTCCCTGTGCCCCTGCAACAGTCTCCATGCCTCCCTCCCTCAGTACAGTCTTGACCTTCCAGAATCTATCCTCCATATTACAGCCAGGGGAGCTTCCTGAAGCATGCATTTGATTCTGGCATTCCACTTCATGGACCCTTTTAATGTCTCTCTAATATTCTTCAAATGAAATATGAAGTCCCCGATGTGGTTTTAACAGCTTAGTGTTGTAGCTCTGTTTACACTTCAAACCGGATACCTCACTTCTCTGATCCTCCTACTTTATGTTCCAAATAAATTGGATTCTCAGTTTCTTGAACATCACCCTAACCTTTGTGTCACTGTGCCCTTTTTGCATGAACACTATTCCTCCCTTCATTCAGCCTTGTTTTGTTTGGCTTACTCTTTACAATAGGCAAGGTATTACTGGCTGCTGTAAAATAAAAATCCAAATCTCACAAAAGGCAAGATTTCATTCTTCTTAATGACTGAGTAATATTCCATTGTATATATGCACCACTTCTTCATTTGTTCATCTATTGTCGGTCACTTAGGTTGGCTATTTTAAATAATGTTGCAATGAAATAGTGGTGGATATCTCTTTTCGAATTAGTGTTTTGAATTTCATTGGATAAATACCCAGAAGTGGAATAGCTGAGTCATGTGGTAGTTCTATTTTTCATTTTTTAAGGAACCTCCATGTTGTTTTTTTAACCTGAACACGACTGCTTCTGCTTCTGCTTGTTCCTTTACTTGGCTCTATGGGGAAGCTCTATGAAGGAAAAGCCCAGAACAATATCTTACATGTAGCAAGTACTCAATAACTTTATTTTTAGAAACTGGTTAAAAGTATTGAAAGAATATAAATGGAAAAAGTGTGGAGAACATAGAGCAAAGTAGTTTATGTCCCAAAGGCCCTGAATAATAGAAGATTGAAGAATTACTTGGTCCTCAAAGACTTAAACAACAGAATGAGGGCATTTCTTGAATGAGTTGATTAGAAAACTAAGAGTAGAGGCAACACAGTTAGAACAGATTAATGATACATGTGTTTGTTTGTTTTTTTAATTTCTGGATGTCACTGAGAAGTGCAGGGTGACATAAAGGTGAAGTTTCTTAAGAAAAAATGAGCTTGCCCTAACCAGTTTGGCTCCATGGATAGAGTGTCGACATGCAGACTGAAGGTTCCTGTGTTTGATTCTGGTCCAGGGCATGTACCTTGGTTTTGGGCTCGATCCCCAGTAGGGAGCGTTCAGGAGGCAGCTGATCAATGTTTTTCTCCCATCAATGTTTCTAACTATCTATCCCTCTCCCTTCCTCTCTCTCTATATATAAAATAAATCAATAAAATATATTTTTGAAAAAAGAAAAAATGAGCTTATAATTTTCTGAGAAAGATGATATACTCAGTGCAATAGAGAACAGAGCACCATAATGGCTTTCATCTCATTTTCACCTACTGAAATCTTTTGACAGGCTGAATTGATTAATTTTAACTGCCAGTAATTATTTTCCATGTTTGCATTTGGTGCCAGGATCAGCTTGGGTCTCTCCCTTCTTTTCACATATGAGGAGAGGATCACTCATTTGTATACTATTTCAATACTTTCTGGAGAGTATCACAGTGTTTAGGGCTAGGAGTCCAAGCAGTTACCTGGTTCAATTCTGTGCCCCCTGTCAGGCTCGCCTTTGTTTTCTTCCCAGCATCTGGCCCATGTTTAGTAAATATTTATTCAAAGAACAGTATTGACTCTCATAAAAGAAGGCAATCTATCCTATTTAATATATATGTATGTATATGTATATAATTTTATTGTTGATAGTATTACAGATATCTCCCATTCCTTCCCTATATCCCCCTCCTCCAAGCCCCTACTGAAAGGACTTTAGAGATGGAAAGAAGCCATTTTAGGGAAGGGGAGTCCATGGGAGAGGAATGCATAGCTCCAAGCCGCCTGATCATTTACAAGAATGTTACAAGATGAGGGGAACAAGAAGAGGGGAGCACCAGGTGAGCTTTGAAACTTTGAAACTGATACCATGCAGGGAAAAGAGGGAAAGTAGCCAATTAGGAAAGCACAGGAGACATAAAATGAGGAATGGTCCAATTAGATAGTGTCATGAACAAAGAAGCTTCCAGTATTTATAAACTTGTAGACAAAGAGACTCAGAAGACTAGATTTTTCCCATTTTATAGAGAGAGAGGTTCTCCCAATTTGGGGACCCCTCCTCAGGGGGAATTCGTATACATTTGCAATAAACTTCTATATTTTTGTTTAAAATCTTTTAGTCAGAGAATTTTGTTCTTCAAACTTCGTAGGACAAGAACCTGTGAGGAGAGTCCAAGCTTGCCATTCCGCATATCACTGCCACACCCGCCCTAGGCAATCTATCCTATTTAAAAATATAAACAGATATGCTTTATTTGAGGGGTTTTCATTCTTCCTTCCATCCTTCCTTCCTTTCTTTCTTTTATTTTTAAATTTCCAATCTAACTCTATGTCTATTATTTCACAGGTGTGACTGTAAAGCTGGTAAGTGATAGTTAATTTTTTTTATTTTATTTATCATCTCAAGTGCAATAATACTTTGTATATATACTTTTTAGTTCAACTTTAACACTATCTTCTCCGAACTTCAAAGATCTAACTACCTTTTCTTTTTTGGAAGTGATAAGTTCAGCAACTCTCAAATTTTTGCTACATGAGAGGGGCCTTTAAAGGAATCTCCTCATAACCATCATTTCTTTGTG